GTATTTGCCCCCCGCCCCCGCCGCAGGCACGTGCTTCTGGTTCTGGTCGTGGATCGCGCACACGCTGGACGTGACCACAACGCGCGCGGGGCGCGGCGACGCGGCTGCTGCGGCCTCCAGCACCGCGCGGGTGCCCTCGATGGCCGGCTCAATCACGTCTGTTGGTTGTGTTTTTCATTGGGTTCGACAACAATTGGAATCATCACATCAGGGCAGACGAGGATGGGTGGGGAGGATGGGTGGGGAGGACGGCACAGGGCAGCCGCGGGGTGCATGCAAGCAGCCGGTCGGAGAGGGTGGGCACGTGCACGGGGCGTTTGCCGCGCAGCGAGAATCGGCGTGCGGCCCCAGCGGTGGCAGCAGATGCGGTTGGCGGCAGATGCTGTGCATCCCTTAGGCAGCACCGGTTGCAGCGCAGGAGCACCTTTCTGGGGATCGCCGTCGAATCTGAAGGGGCTGGCCACGTGGAACACGTAGCGGCTGCCGGCGATAGCAGAGTCCAGGGCCGGCGATCTGGACAGGATTGTCTCGACCTGGGGGTGTGTTGGGTGCGGGACAACTTGAGGGCACGCGCGACGTGGCCCCCGGCTGCTGGCGAGCACCGGGCGTTTCGCTGCCGGCGCTGATTCGCGGCCTGGGAAATCGGGGGGCGACGGAGCGCTGCGCCCAGTGGCGCCGAGCAACTGCGCGTGCCGGCGGCGTGCGAGCGCATGCGGGCGGCGCACATGCACGTGCAGGAAGCACACACGTGGGCAGCATGCGGGTTGCCACGCCAGCAGCTTGTTTCACACCTGGACGAGCTCGAGGGTGCCGGGCGCGCCATCGGCTGCGCTCCGCAACGGCGCCAGCCGCGCACTGTCGGGCTCGCAGCGGCAGGTGGCCTTCACCGCGTACCCGCGGGCCAGCAGCTGCTTGATCAGCTCCGCCGCCACGAAGCCCGTGGCGCCGGTGACGGTGGCGGTTTTGGCGGACATTGCGGTTGGCTGATGCGCCGCGTGACGCGCTGCTGCCGCTGCTTCGGACGCTTTGTGAGCGTGTCGGATGCCGACTTGCTAAGCGTTGAAGGTTTTAATTCCGGTCGTCAAAATGTTTAAATACGGTGAGCGTCACTGATCCTGTATGGTTGCGATGCAGCGCGCTGGATGCGCTGATCTTGGGATCGTTGCAGGTGCGCACACTCGCGTTTTGCCTGCAAATTTAGGTAACTTGTCAATTGGAACGAGCAATACAAAACACGATTTCGGACGGGTTTGTCCCGCCACCCGAGTCACTCGCACGGCCGATGATGTGCAGAGGCGAGTCACGACAGGTTGACCGCGAGGAACGCCCCCGGAACAGCCAAGAAGCAGGGTGCTGCAGAGAGCAGAAGCAGAGAGGCGCAGTGACACACTCCATGCGTTGTCATCGCCGTCATCCAGGAGCCCTGTAGCGTCACCGCTCTATGGGGTGCGTATTCATTTGCAACACCTCCCTCTCCCCCCACACACACACATGCGTGCGCGCACGCACGCGCAACCTTGGGGCCCTGGGGCGCACATGGCAGTGTTCCGCGTGGGTGCGCGACGCGCACGCGTATGAGGTGGTACCTGAGCAAGGCAGCCGACAAAACGCGTGCACCGACCTTCTCCTGTGCAGTAGAGCCAATCATCGCAACGACGCGCGTGTCAGCAGGCGATCAGGCTATCACTAGCTCGGTGTGGGTCTTGCTGGCCGGTGCAACGTCCTGCCATACAAAGCCCGTCCCTGACAGCTGGCTGCTGTAGTCAGCGCGCAATCGCGTCACCTGCCCCCTGCCCGCCAGACCTGTCAAAAAAACCCAGCTTGGTACCTTGAGAGCGGCCAAGCCGCCAGTTTGGGGATTAGGGTTCAATGCTCAACAATGTTTGTCAGAATGATGAGCCCATGTCGCGCTTCCCACTTGGCAGTCCCAACGCCATCACTCGTTTCTGTGCACCTCTTTGCGGATAAACCCGTGTTGGGATCAGGGTGTGATGGAATCTGGAAGGGTGACTGGCGCATTGGCGTGCAACGCCAAGAGCCCTCCAATGTAACCAAATCGGGATCTGGCGTGCATGTGTAAAGATCAGCAGGCCAGAGCCGGGACGCGGCCCGCCATCCTCCCGTCCTGAGCGCCGCGCAAACATGACAAAGGCGACCGCCGTGCTTGCGCTCTGCGGCGCGTGGGGCGGCCATCGTCGCAACTTCGGCATCTCGTCTCGCGTGCTTGCATCGTCGGGCGCGCCTCAGTCACCCTGCGCATGCTCGTGCTTTCAGGCTCGGCTTTATTCGAGGCCGCTCACCATCAATCGAGTCGCTCGCGGGCTGCGCATATGCAACAAGACGGCGCTGCGGCGGAATGAGCGCCCAAGGCAAATGCTCTCTAAGACAAGGGCTCGGGTGCGCAACCGGTCGCAGAGCTGCCCTTGATTGTATGGCATCACGCAGTGCCTTGCCGGCCCTTGAGCCGTGACCCACCTCCTAAAACATCTATCCGCATTATTTGGAATAGCAAATCCTGGCACAGAAGACAGCTGGTGTCGTTGCGTTATGATTATTGTTACAACAGAAGGCAGGGCTGATAGTGTGATGGGTATTGCAACAAGTTTGCAAGCGGCTTCAAGGCACTGCATCCAAAAGGCGGCAAGGAGCAAAGGCGGCTAGTATTCCATAGCCACCCACAGCAGCAAGGAAGCAAGCAGGGCTCCACAGGACCATGGAACAGGGATAGATGTGCCTTTGCCAGGTGTGGAACGCTGGGTTTGTCCCTTGCAGCGGCGGCAGCCGCTTGTCATCGTTTGTATCATGCCTGGGTGAAGGGCCGCCACCCACAGGTGGTTTGCCCAGCCTGCGGTTGCAGCGACATGATGCGCCCGGCAATTTGAATCACAGTGTGACAGCTGGGACTCCGTGCTGGGTGTCCTGCCAGACACGAGATCTGTAGATCGCATTGACTCAGCAGCAACCCTGGCAAGGTATATATAAACAACACAAGGCGAGTCAAGACAATGGATCCGTCGAGGCGCAGCGAGATACGGTCGCCACGTGCGGTGGGGGGAAACATGTGGGTGCAGCAGCACGCTACCGCACAGCCTTGCAAGTGGGTGATTGGGGCGAG